TTTTTTTTTTTTTTTTTAATTTCTCTTCCGTGTTATTCATTGGCTTTATTTTTTAATTTTTTTTTTTTTTTGTATTCAATCATTTGATATTAATAATGGAATTCTGTCTTGCCTACCAAGCAACATCCCTAAACCACCCTGATTTTATCGATATACATTTTAAATCCATTTATTACACTCATTTGCAATCAAATATTCCTGATGATTTTTATGCCACCCCCTTTTCCCTACGGGGGGAAAAAAATGCAACATCGATTCCAGGGAGATTGTGTCCGTCATTTAAAATTCTATCTGATCTTCTAAGAAAAATCGTCAAACTGGAACGTCTGTGAACCAGCCTACTAACTAAGCGTACTCCACTGCCATGAGTTTTGAAATACATTAATGTAAACATTTTAAGCTACTTGCTTTACGTTCTCACGGCAGTCTTTGCGGTTGTAGAAAATTGGTTGGATGATTTTTAACAAACACGGCTTTGAAAGCGAGTCAAACTTTTTGAAACACCCCTTCGAAATGGTTTTACCCCATTGTCCCTAACTGGGTCACTCCCGACCTGGCTCCCCTGCTCAGGTAAAAATGTTGGTACATTCCTCACCTGTCGACCAATTATCAACGGAGTACCCTGTCAACTTCCGGCAACGCTAATGTCGCCACAATGGCGATCAGAACGAAAACTTTCTCGTTGCTGGGCCTAATTGGTACTGTGGCTTGTGTGATCGCGATTGTGGTCTCCTTCGCGTCGGACCGATGGGTCGTCTCCACGCAAAAGGAGGTCTCGGGATTTCTCAACATCGGACTGTGGTCAGCGTGTTTTTCGAAGTACATGCCGCCTGCTTGGTCGCTGGTGTCGAAGTACTACGACGGCTGCTGGTGGTTACTGGACAGGGAGATGGATGACCTAAGACATTTTCTCATTCCAGGTCAGTTGCGTCTGCTTTGCGAGACCGACCCGAACCAAAGAATAACAATATTAACTATATTATAATGTCCCCTTGCGTTTAATCGTGTCGACAATGTTCATATCAAATCAGTAGGGCTACTTTTTTTTTTTTTTAATGGGAATCCAGTTAGCCTAAGCCGTTGTTTTTTTTAATCTGTATTCGTGAAAGCGTAGAATCATTTTTACCATTTACGACCAGATTTGCGTTTAAGAACAATCCTTACCATATTTTATCAGTCACACTGCTACTTGATTGAACACTTAGCGTATTTTAGGTTTTACTTCATTTTTGTTTACATAACAGAAATGACATTTTTGCAATGCGGAAATGCTCGCTGCTGATAATGTTATGGCACACGGTATAATCCATTACACTGCTAACGTTTTTAAGTCATGGATCTGCAAATGTTCATGTGTATAGAATATTCGTTTGTTTGTTTGTATGTTGAAATTTGATTTCATTAGTTTGTTTTAACATAAGTCATGGAACTGCAAATGTTCATGTGCATAGAATATTGAAATTTGATTTCCTTAGTTTGTTTTAACATAAGTCATGGAACTGCAAATGTTCATGTGTATAGAATATTCATTTGTTTGTTTGTGTGTTGAAATTTGATTTCCTTAGTTTGTTTTAACATAAGTCATGGAACTGCAAATGTTCATTTGTATAGAATATTCGTTTGTTTGTTTGTATGTTGAAATTTGATTTCCTTAGTTTGTTTTACCATTAGTCATGGAACTGCAAATGTTCATGTGTATAGAATATTCATTCATTTGTTTGTTTGTGTGTTGAAATTTGATTTCCTTAGTTTGTTTTAACATAAGTCATGGAACTGCAAATGTTCATGTGTATGGAATATTCGTTTGTTTGCTTGTATGTTTAAATTTGATTTCCTTAGTTTGTTTTAACATAAGTCATGGAACTGCAAATGTTCATGTGTATAGAATATTCGTTTGTTTGTTTGTATGTTGACATTTGATTTCCTTAGTTTGTTTTAACATAAGTCATGGAACTGCAAATGTTCATGTGTATGGAATATTCGTTTGTTTGCTTGTATGTTTAAATTTGATTTCCTTAGTTTGTTTTACCATTAGTCATGGAACTGCAAATGTTCATGTGTATAGAATATTCGTTTGTTTGTTTGTATGTTGAAATTTGATTTCCTTAGTTTGTTTTAACATAATTTTTTTAGAAAAAGCTATTTTTATTTAAGCATTTTACGAAGTCACTAGGCTAGGTTAGGGCCCACTGCAAAGAAACACATCCCAGTTGTCAGGGAGGACTGTGATCAGCTGTCCAGAGATGAGCTGAAAAAACTATTTGGATACTAGTAGGCCTGCGACTACTTGTAATTTGTTATTGTTTGAGCTCTAGGTCTGTGTTAGTTGAAGTTTGTTGAAATCACCTTTAAATTATTCTTAAACTTAAAACAATCATTTGACATGAACTTTTGAAGGAAACTGAATGCATTTCTTGTTATTTTTTTTACCGTTAAACAGCATTATATGTTAACAACATTTTTAATGTGTTCATTTGTGATATTAGTTTGCATTATATGATTTAAATCCAACGTTGCAGGAAGTTTTAGAAGTGCATTTCAGTCTCATAACTTTTGAAACAAACAAGCCTTCAGTTCCATGTTTGTTGGTAGACTTTGAAACAATCATTAGCCATGATAAACTTAGTCTGAAAAAAAAAAATTATTTATGGCATATTTGTTCGTAGCTTTTACATTGACGTATTGATTAGTATGAAGGGCATGTCTGTTAATGTACAACAATATTGTGGTCCATAAATTACTCCACCATTCCTGCTGCTGCTACTGGTGTCTGGTTACTACACTTGAAAGTTAAGTTCTACTTACAACACCCACTTTGAAAATTTAGCCGAAAACGTCTAGAAATCCCTTGAGCCCAAGTTGGGATACCTAAATGTGGGGAGAGGAGGGGGGCGTACTGGCTTTTTCTTGTCGCTTAATTTTTCCTAAGGATAACCTGGTCTTAATGCAGTCTCCAGCTGACCACCTTTGACGACATGGGGATGGTGCCAGGAGTGATATTATCTAATATTTGTATTTGCATATCACAGGCTGGTTCATGGGAACATACATCCTATCTTTATGAACATAGACAGCCACTTTTTGTCGGTACACGAAACATTTCTATTTGTTTATCCCTGGCTGGTTCCAGGGGACACCAATCTTATCCTAATGAACATAGCCTACCACTTTATGTCTGTACACCCAACATTTCTATTTGTTTATCCCTGGCTGGTTCCAGGGGACACCAATCTTATCCTAATGAACGTAGCCTACCACTTTTAGTCGGTACACCTAACATTTCTATTTGTTTATCCCTGGCTGGTTCCAGAGGACACCAACAATCTTATCTTAATGAACATAGCCTACCACTTTATGTCTGTACCCCCAACATTTCTATTTGTTTATCCCTGGCTGGTTCCAGGGGACACCAATCTTATCCTAATGAACATAGCCTACCACTTTATGTCTGTACACCCAACATTTCTATTTGTTTATCCCTGTCTGGTTCTAGGGGACACCAATCTTATTCTAATAACCATAGCCTAATTGTCACAATCAAATTTCGTTCTGATATTTTATTATTCACATTCACAATGAGGAATATATCTCACAAAATCCGAAAACACTTATACATTATATCACATGAATATTAATAATTTCTAGATAATATAATCTTCTTTGCTTCATAATGTATCAAGACAGCATCAGCGGTCTCTCTTCATTCCTCTCAAAACAGACTCCATTATTCAACTCCTCTTTTCTGCTTGGCCAGTTTCTCCCAAGTATAACGTCTCATTGGAGATGGCGTCGGTGGGTCGTGAGCTCTTATTACCCCCGGCACCCCTCCACACGGGTCAACGCCGGGTCTCCCCACCGCCAGACCGTGCTTCCTCTCCGGGGGAAAAGGTGTTGCGTTACCTCCCCCCACCGTCCAAGGCGTTTTCCGGTCGGGAAGAAAGCTGGGAAGAAACGGGCCGCGTAGCTCAAATCATCGGCAAGGGTTTTGTCCGCCACCCGCAGGCCTCATATCCATTATCGGCAACAAGTATAAACAATCTGTATATTATTTTATTATGTAACAAATATTTACAATATGACTCATCTCACATTATCTCAACTTCTTAGTATGACACAGAAGACAGTGGAGTCAGTTAAGCACTGGATGACCATAAACAAGCTCAAACTGAACGATGAAAAGACCGAGCTGATCCCCATTGCTACCGCTCAGAAGCTAAAATCTGTAAATAACACACATCCCTACTCTCTCAGGTGTGCAGATTGAGTTTGCTCAACCAGTGCGTAACCTGGGTGTCTACTTAGACAGAACACTAACTATGGAAAATCACATTAATATGCTTTGCAAGGCGATTTTTCTAGAGCTGCGCAGAATTAGTCACATCAGACCTTTCTTAACGTTAGATGCATCAAAGATGCTGATGTCTGCATTCGTGCTATCATGCATGGCACTACTGCAATCCTCTCATGGTGGGTCTTTCGGCTACGCACCTGGATGGAATTCAAAAAGCACAGAATAATGCGGCTCACATGCTAAAACACTTCTGAGAAAGCTGCATGGGCTGCCAGTCCGCGCTCGCATAGAGTACAAAATTGAAACTCTGTGCTACCGCTGGTTGCATGAACTGACGCCTTCCTATCTAAAAGCGCTCATGACGACTTATGTACCCACTAGATCACTCCGTTCATCCGATAGGGGCAAACTCTGGTTACTGCATTGAAACCTACGCTTTTGCAGGCCCAAGAATCTGGAACGGCCTTCCTATCGCTCTCAGAAACAACCAGACACTGCAGTCTTTCAAAACTGAGTTGAAAACGTATCTTTTTCGCTCTCACCTGGTGGGGTGACGTTTCTACCTCCTTTTTTTCAAGGAGCTTGCTCATATTCCTCGATGTATATTGGCTTGCATTGTCCATTGGCTTGTATGGAGATTTTGTATTTTTGCGTTTTGTATATTATTGTGCTTTGAGCCTTAATTAGGGACGAAGCGTGATTTTGAAATGAACTTTATTATTATTATTATTTATTTACTAATACTTCATTTCTGTGCACCCAACATTTCTATTTGCTCATCCCAGGCTGGTTCAAGGGGACACAAATCCTAGTCACCCTAGCTCTTGTGTTGCAGCTGGTGACTGTCATAATTTCGATTGTCAATATCATCAACTGCTTCCCTCACAATCGATTCAAAGAACAGATTACCCGTATCCTGTCCATGCTCGCAGCAATATTTCATGCTATAACAGGTATGTGATGTAAAATTCTTTTGTTAAAAAGTTTTCGATTTTACAAAAAAAATTTTTTAAAGTTGAATCCCAAGGTATACAGTTTATTTTAGTCCCATACTAAGTTGACAGCAGTCTTGTAGGTTGATTCATCAAACAGGGTTCGACCTTCTTGCTGGACTGATGATTCCATTTCACCCAGCTATACAGTATATGTTTAAAGCTGGTGTCGATTAAAGCTTATCTTTCCTATAAAAATAAAATAAAACGTATTGAATAATACAATTTATGATATATGTCTCATGTATTTTAGTTTAATTTTTTTGTCTCATGTATTTTAAGTATTTTATCCACACAAAAAAAGACAACAACACAAACCTCTACAAGAATGCAAACATTTATTTTAATAAATCTCAGATGGCTCCTAAATTTAACCAAATGTTTGCTCACTTTTGTTGACAGTAAAGCCATCCTGTCATTACTTTACAATTTATAAGAAGAAAAAAGTTGTAATTGACTCACCCCCTGGACATCTCCTCTCATGTCTTACACAATTCGTTATTGCTCAATCATTAATTCACACATGTTCAAGACTTATGCTAAGATGCAGGCAGATGTTTATGAATTCTTTAGAGTTAATTTGAACCATTTGTATTGTGTTCATATTTTTTTTTTAATTTTTTTCTTTACATTTATCTCTAATCAACTGTAAATTTAAGGCTATTTTTAACGTTATTTATCTTGTAAAATGTACGCTCAACCTCTAAATCCTGGTTCAATTTTTAAATATTTTTTTTTTCTTTTCAGGTATTCTGCTATCTGTCGCTGTAATCATGTTTGGAGCAAACGCGGATAACTCAAGGACATGGCTTGAAAAACCTGACCAGAATTACCTTTCCTGGTCTTTTGGAATTTGTGTCCTAGCGGCTTTCATAGCATTCATTTCCATGATGTTCCAGTTCTTGGAGTTCTTCCGGCTGCGGCAAATGCAAGGCAAGGACGGGGAGCCCCGAGTTTACCTGACCAATCAGGGACCCGCCTCAACAAACTACGCCTACAGCCGCCAGAACGTGTCGACAACAGCAAGCTACAACCCCAGCGTTCGGCAGCCTGCCTATGCAGATCGTTATTACAACAACGGGTCTCAGTCATCGTTGAACACCAAGCCCCCCAACACGACGTTTGCAGTCAGTGGGGCAGGGGAGGTCTACATCAACGGGCTTGCCAACTTTGATGAGAACAGGCCGCAGAGGACGACGTCGAGGAACCCCGTTTACCAGGATAAACGTCCCATCGACAGCAGCGATTCCAGGCGAGTGATCAACAACAACGCCGCCAACAGTGCGAGGGAAGCCAGTGTCAGCAAGAATACCGATTACGAAGATTCTAAAAAAATCAAACAACCCGTCCTGCCCGAGTATGTTCCCAAGGGTAAAGATGTTGCCAAGAAACCTCCAAGCGAAAGCTCCGAGGATTCTTACAGCAGTGACGAGCAGTCTGTCCGGAAGATCAAAGGTGATTCCGACAATGACAAGAGCCACAAAAAATCCAAGGGCGTTAAATCCAAGGGCAGGTCTGACTCCGAGAAGCGAAAGAAAACTAAGGATGCTGACAAGCGTTCGAAATCCAAGAGCAGCAAACGGTCTGATTCTAAGAAACGCACCAACAAACGTGACGATTCCGATGATGATGAAAGGTCCAGAAGTAAACGGAGGTCTAAAAAGGGGAGTTCGGCCAGTTCCAAACGGCGAACATCTCATTCACGAGACAGGAGTCATTCACGAGACAGGAGTCGTTCACGGGACTTGAACACGTCCTACTCAGATTCAGATGCGGGCTCAACACGGGGCCGCTCTCGCAGGAGGCAGGAAAAGGAGTTTTCCAGAAAAGACACTAAGAGGAGGTCCGCCTCAGAGGATAATTCCAAAAGTAAACAAAGACATACGCTTAAAAAGACTAAGCCTAGTGGCAACTACAGCGACGATAACCTGTCCGGGTCAGAGTACAGCAGCAAGCGTAAACCCCAGAGCAAATCGAGGACTCATTCCCAGGGGATTAAAAAATCTAGGTCACAAGATTTTTCCGAGACCGAAAGTGTGAAAAGCAAACAAAGCAGACGAGGGGGAGACAAACCCAAGGGAACGTACTCTAGTTATTACGAATATTAAGAATGTTAATGGTTAAGGCCTTGTGTTTATTAAGTAAGGAGTGACTTTCTACACAATTGACATCTGTTGGATTTATTTTCAGTTGAAGTTTGCAGGGAAGTGAATTTTACTTTGATTTACTCCACAGTGTTCTATCTTTTGGATTGAATGTTCACTATCTGAATAACAATCCGTTATTCTACTGTATGTTGACCTGTTTTAGTATGGAATGGTAACATAAAAAAAAAGACTGTAAATATTCATTAAGACTCTCAAGGGCTGTAAATTAAATAAAATAATGTCCAGTTGCTCTATTGCATGATTATGTACAGAAAAAAGTATTTTATCTATATCTTTTATAAATACGTTTTATAATATATGAGAATATACACTAAATCCTGTATTTTATCTTTAGCTGTAATGTAGTCTATTGTTTTGTGTACAGTATCATTCTTCATTTCATGTTGTCTTATTTAATGTCCATTTTATGCCACAAATCGTTTAAAGCATTTTTTCCCCATGGCCGCAAGAGATGAATAGATATATTTAAATTGATTAGGTCAATTTAGATTAGGTTTTTTTTTCATCTCTAAGTACGGATAACCTATTTTGTTCATGTAGATGTAATTTGTAAAGTTTACATAGTTTTAAGGTTATCAATATGGGGCAGAGCTGAAGCATTTATGTGAAATATCTATGACGCTATCAATTGTGGGACGGTGGAGGTCGATTTTCCCTAATTTTAACTATCAGAATTATTTTTATTAATTAAATGATTGTGTAAATTTACCTCTTGCATCAAACATTTAAAAATAATTGATTAATTTAACTATGGGAAAATTAGCATATTAAAACCTTTAGAAGTTATAATCTTATGACATATTTTGGGGCTGCTTATAATCTTATGCCATATTTTGGGGCTGCTTATAATCGTATGCCATATATATAGGGCTGCACTTGAAGTCTCTTACATCTCTTCTCAGTGTTACTTGGGTTAATTGATTTTTTAAATAATGATTATTTGTGATTATGATACTCTTTGGACTCACCAGGTGCGCTGTTTAACCTTTTTAGAGGGTCTGTTGATTCTTAGGCACTTGGCATTTTGTGTATAATTTTTTTAATAAATTTTTATGTAAAGTAATTATTTTTTGATGACCCTTTATAAACATTTTAAGTAAAAAATATTTTTATAAAATATGATATTACAAATTTTATAACTCTTTTTGTATTCTACATAGTTATATTTTGTATTCTAAAGGTACTAGAAATACATGCCAAACATTGGCGACAGCAATGTGTGAACTTCCCATCTACTAAAGTCATTTGACAAAGCTTGCATTCACGTAAAGCTCTTAAAAATCATCTCAATTAGTGCTAACTTCTAGGAATTTTATTTTGAGGGCTTATTGGACCCAGTTACAGCCATTCATACCTAGAGAATCATTCTTGATACCCATTATATTAAGACGTGAATCTATTTTTAATGTTATAATGCTATTCTGTCACATTGATTGCTATTAATTATGTATGAAAGAGGTCAGTAAATGCTTTCATGGCGTATAAAATTTTTTTTTATGGCTATAGAAGTGTTATATGAGAATTAAAATTATTCTCAAAGATGTCATTCTGAATATAAATGTTTTGCAGAAACATCATTTAAACTAGATTTTTTAAATTATTTTTAGTAAAAAAAAAATTTCCAACATAGTAAGGTCACTTAAAACAGACCTTTAAATAACTGTATAGACTTTTTTTCTTTGTTATAAATTGTTATTTTAATTAATTAATTATTATAATTTTTTTTTTTACTGACCTTTGACTTGGCAGCTAGTGACAGACCTCTGGGTTGGTTCATTTTAATGTTGAACTTAATGAAATGGTTCCACTGTTCAATGAAAATTTTGCATTGAATTCATTCACTTTAACAATGTCATTCCAAGCAGAAACAACTCAAATGGCAGCATGCCAAGAGATGTATGTTTACTTTATTTCAATTTTTAAAAAATTCTGAGGCGATTTTTAAGTTCAAATGTTTCAAACATTGCCAGCAGAGATTTAAAAAATGGTAATAAGGGGGAGAGACTGCAATCAGGTTAGGTAAAAGGAAATGAATGCAAAAAAAAATATGGGAAAACCTGAAAACAGGACGAAAAAAAAAAACAATGAATGTGTCGGCAAGAAGCCTTCTTCATTTAACAAACAACAGTAAAAACAATATAAAATTTTGAAAAACACTTAGCTGTAATGTAGTATCTGAGTTGACATCAAGGGGAATGTGATATGCAGTAGAAATGCCTTACCATGGAGTTATTCAGATACATATACTTAATCACCATAAAACTTTATCACTTATTTTATCACTAGGAGTAGATGGTTATTTGTTTAAAAACATAAATTTGACACTGCATGAATAGCTTTATTAATTTTAACTTACTCTACTGATATCCAAGGACTTTATTACTAATCTTGAGTTGTGATAAGTTTCATCAAATTTTGAACCAGATTAACGTAAACAGAGTCTAAAAACAAACTGAATGTTTTTTAGTATGAGGCCTTATTCTATGTTCCCATAACTCCCTGCCTAATACACCACGCTATGGGGTCATAGCTGAGAAAGGGAGAGTTGAGAGTTAGCCCCCCTTAAAGAGGAATGACGTCCCTTGTAATAAGCTAATCTAAAATTGGAACCAATGTTGTGTTGAACATTTTCTACCGCCACTGTGTCACGTCATATTATGTTATGATTTGTTTTAACGGCCATTTGAAACAAAGCTGAGAACCGCCATTACCCATTGTAGTTTGCTGTTCTACTCTTGTTCCTGCTACATCTTGCCCAAACACTGACTGCCCCATAATAACATCTTGACCAAACACTGACTGTCCCATAATAACATCTTGACCAAACACTGACTGTCCCATAATAACATCTTGACCAAACACTGACTGTCCCATAATAACATCTTGACCAAACACTGACTGTCCCATAATAACATATTGACCAAACACTGACTGTCCTATAATATTTCAATAGTTTGATCTAATGCGTGAAGCAGGTAATATCCATCATGGAAACAATGCATTATATTAGTGATTTTTCTTCATTGTCAATCTCGAGTAGTGTATTTTTATTAAATCATATTTTTAAAAGATTTTATATTAAATGTATATGTATATATATCTATCTAATTACCTTCAAAGCAAGAGTTATTCCACGTTGATTTATCACACATGAAGTGATCACATTATGAAGTATCGAACCTGGCATTATTACAATTCTAGCAACAAGATTTAACATGGCATGAGTTATTACAACTTGATTTGATCACACCGTGAGTTATCACAAATCACCATTCTATTTATCTCGACATTGCCCATCCCTCAAGCTCGACTCCTCTCCATCTGTGAATATACATAAACACCAATATGTAAATATTTACTCTTGTTACCATGGAAACATTTCTGAACAAGGACATTCCAGTTTGTACTATATTTTTTTTTTTAATGTAAAAATTTTGAAACTGAAATTATCAATAAATGAATGTGTCATTTGACCCACAGTTGTTAGGCTTAAATGTTTTTGTTCGTGTTTGCTGTTAGGCTTAAATGTTTAGTGGTGTTTTTTATTGTGTTCAATGTTTTTAGTGGTGTTTGTTGTTTGGTTTTTAATATTTGTTCGGTGTTATATGAAGATAAACCACTTTTGTATTTGATAGTTATATAATGTTATTAAGAAAAACACGAAATCAGGGTTTCTTTCAGGCATATCTCCCCGGGGAAAGTCAAGCGCCCCCCCCCACCCTGGGGACATTCAAGTACCACCACGGGGGAAGTCAAATCCCCCCCCCCCCACGGAGCAAAATGTGTAAAAACTATATAACGATTATATATTTTTTATTGAAAAATACTACACCCTGGGGACATTCAAGTACCACCACGGGGGAAGTCAAATCCCCCCCCCCCACGGAGCAAAATGTGTAAAAACTATATAACGATTATATATTTTTTATTGAAAAATACTAAATTGTAATTTTTAAACAGTTATAAAAAGAATAGTAACTGGTGCCTTTAACCGACTACAATTAGGGGAATCTATTAAATATGGCCACGCTCCATTTACTGGATGATCCGTATATTTAACGCTAACCTTGTAAAGGCGTACTATATTCGATTATAAATATCACACTTGACGCTCCAGATTATATGCCGAATGTTTACTTCCCGTTGTTCGCACATATCGGTCTTTTTATTCATTTTTTTTTTTTTGGTACTTCACAAGTTTAAAGTTTTTAATAACAGTGTATTTAATAACCTTTACATCTATAAAAAGTTTTACAAATTTAATACAGTTCTTTTAAGTATCAAACATGGGCAATCTATTTTAAAATTATATTTCATAATAAAAGCGTGACTTTAAAAGTAGGGATAGGTGTTAATTATAAATTGTATGATGGTGGTCTTTTTAAAATATTGTTATTAGCATTACTTTAAATTTAATTATTCCACGTATGTTGAGTTACATAAAATGGAAGCTTTAAAAACATGAGATTTTTTCTATTTTTTAAAATTAAGAATGCTCCGGGCACATTTCATCAATTATTATATCGAAAGCGTTTGTGTCTTCTTTAAATGTTCTACTTTTGTAACAAAGTTTCCCGAATAACAGAGGCGTCAGAGGTTTAAAAAAAACACTTCGCCTATATTTATAATGCCACACCCATTTGCACGGATTTAAAAAAAAATTTTTTTTCATTGATAAGAATCAGAGACATTTTTTTTTAAAAATAAAGATTTTTGTAAACTACAGTCGAACCCGCTTATCTCGACCTCGGGTAACTCACCAACCCGGTTATGTCGACGTTTTTTAAATGTGGAACCGCCAAATTTTCTCTTTGTCTTCCCATTTTCTCCTCGGTTATGTCAATTCTTTTATGTGGTCGGATTCTGATATCTCCAGCACAAAAGGCGGCCAAAATTTGCCACTTAACCTTGGTTATCTCGATCCCCATGACCGATTGCCGGGTTTTGAGCTCCGCGAGAAGAAATTACAAACAACAAATAAACAACTTTTCAATAATTAAAACTAATTATTCATTTCTCAAGAGACTGGACTTGTGTTTTAGAATGAGCCTAGAAGTAGTTTAAATAAATATGTTTTAATTCGAGGTTTGAAAACCCGGGAGAGTCCATATTATAAAGGATCATAATGTGCCGTGTTGAAAACGTTGTCATGGTCAGCCCTCCCCCCTCCACCTCATTACATTTATTTTGGTTGCTGTAAACCAAAAATTCCCACCACTAACAAAATGTGTCATCAGGGTCGGACAGCCCCAAACCCGCCTTTCAACGTTAGTGGACAACATAGGACTATCAATATTTAGATGGGGACAGTGATTATTTCAGAAATTTTTCCCCCGTGGGGCAGTGCCAGTTGATTTATTGTTGTACATATTTTTGTTCCGTGTGAGCACTTGACTTTTCCCCGGGGGGGGGCGCCCCCCCCCCCCCCCCCCGGAGATATATCTGAAAGAAACCCTGGATAGGGACAACGCAGTTAGCGCCCTTGATGTTAATGCCAGGGACGGCTGTCCACTCCACTCCTCCTCCCCCCCCCCCACCCCCAGGATCCCAGGCTAGTCTACTGATAAATTATAATAAAATCATTTATTACACAGTTTAATCATTGGGATTTATATACAGTAGAGCGTCAATTTTCCGAACTAATCAGATGTTCAGATAACATTTTTGCAGAAGTTATTTGTTAGTGTATAGAATACAATATACCCTTATGACCTTATTCTTGGTGCATTAGTGTAGTCCACAATACATGTCCCACAACGCGCGGTAAAGGGGAAAGGTGATTGATATAATAGACTGTAAGAACTTAATGTTTTATTCCACGAAAACATGTCGCTTTAAAAAGAAAAGACTAAACTCAGATATAGGCAAAAATGCACTCCTAGATTTTGAACTAAACAAAAATTTCATAGGGAGGGGCTTACTGATCCGCCTCCCAAAAACCACCCCCACCACCCCTTATTTTTCGTTTGGGAGCCATTATTTTTAAACAAAATTGTATACGGGGAAGGGCCATTGCTGGTGCTCTGAAAGTTGAGGGTGCTGACAGGGCATATACCAGCACGCAAATTAGGCATTATGACACACGGTGCTACACATAAAGCACACAAGTCTTTGCTAGAGGGGCTATGAGCCCAAAGGCCATTCGCTCCTTTGAGTTATTGTAGCAGAAGATATTTAAGTCGTTACTTATTGATAATGCTGTTTCCTAATATTTTGTGTCGACAGGAAGCGAACAAGCATTAGAAAACACAGAATTAATAAAATAGCCCTTAGCTGAGAAGTAGTATCCGAGAGGGCAGCAAAAGAATGGTGCACACTTATTCGCACTTCGCATTTAGCGTCCTCACGACTTCACGGGTTTGCGCACCCCACAGACAGAAATAACCCATAATCCGATGACTACGATGATATTCTTCTTCTATATCTTGAGGGCCAAAGATCAATGAATTGATCATTCTTGCTCCTATGTTTGTAGAAAGGTTTCGCGATGTAACTGCCTGGTATTGAAGAGGATATTTCATTGGCTGCAAGCACAACTCGGCGAGGATATCAGGAACCCGGAGAGGGGAGGGGGGTGGGCGCTGGAAGACAGGAGGGAATCGACTCACTCAAATATGTCAAGTGTTATCACCTCAACTGTTCCTTCTTTTGGAAGCTTGTTTCAGCCTTATTGTCTTTGGTGGGAATGAGCAGTTCCTTTGCTGCAGTCTTGCTGTTGTGATCGATTTTTACGGATGAACTAAGTTGTTACGAAAGAATGCGAGTACTTATGATTTATGTAAAGAATTGGGCACTATTTATTTGAATTAAGAAAGAGAATTGTTGTTTTTGATTTTCAATAAGATTAAAAACGAATAGAGAAAAGGAAATTTGCGTTTTTGACGTCACTTCCACTCATTTAAAAAAAAAAAAAAAAAAAAAAAAAATGGCGCATATTTTTATACAACACAAAATTTGACACAAGCATAGAATGTGTTAAGAGAGCTTTTTTGTAAACTTGTTAAAATCTTTTTTTTTTATTCATTCGCGGGACTTATGATTTATTGTCTATTTTATTCGACTGCATATTAACTCAGTAGTTATAAGCACACAAGTCTTTGCTAGAGGGGCTATGAGCCCAAAGGCCATTCGCTCCTTTGAGTTATAGTACAAGAAGATATGCGGCCAACTGATAATGGGAGTCAACCCAGCCACGGGATCGTGGACAAGAAAAAGAAGTATTTTCTATTTCTGGGATACAACACCTCGATTGCACTTCTGGTGATACTGTGTGGGTTTGCGGTGGCCATGTGTGTGGTGTATGTGGTCATTCCATACTGTAAGAAGCTGTGCACTTCGTTAGAAAGGTGGGGGTACAACAATGGTGTCTGTGGTGCGCAGATTCGATTGGGAGCATTGAGTTTAGAAAAAAACAAAACACAAATTGTTTTTCATTATTTTCATCAAAATTTATAATTATTATTATCAAAGTGTGTGAAGAGGAGACCAGGAACACAATTTAAATTTAAGCAGTTTGGTTATTTTCCTGGCACTAGCGGCTTTATTTGGCGGTCAGTCCGTATCTCCGTACCTAACCCTTCGACACAACAGATACCAAACTTACGTTCATAAACATTCTGATAGGAAATAACAATGTTAAATCGTTGTTCCTCGGAATGTACTTTTCTAAAAAATATATATATTATAATGTTATTATTATTTTTTAATCCTATATGAAAATAGCTCTACACCTATGTAATAATTCAGCCCAGTGTAAATACTCCCCCTTGGCGAATTGGTCACTCTTTCCACTAGTACCCGCCTATCCCCACCAGGGGCGTCATTTAAGGTTGTTTTTTCAGGTGGGGGGGGGGCAAAACCAAAACTTGGTCGGCTTGTTAAATTGTTTATTACTGGAAGCGCCACAGTACATAGCAATTTAAATAGAACTTGCAAATTCAAGGGGGGTCGGGGAACATTCCCACCCTGCCCTATACTCAAATTACGTCCCTGATCTTCAGCCCACACGCTCTATGAGGATTTTACAACAGCACTGTGTATAACTCTAAAATGTGTAGGTTAAAACGACAAATGTGTGTGTGTGTTCCCCCGAATTTGTTTCCAGGGTTTACAAGCACACTGTAAAATTGATTGGACTCCGCGTCAGCAGCAGACGACTCTTTTGTTTTTATGTTCAATCGAGGCCACCAATGGACACAGTGGGGGAAGTTACGGGAGGGGGATTATGAAACAAAATCATCTTGAAAAATCTATTCGTCAACTCTGTTTTTTTAAAGCTTGTGTTGACTTGTCTTGAATGTTTCAGGGGTCAGGTCGAAGGTACAGGGGTGGAGAAAAAGGTCTTCAGTCCCAGGTCGCCACCGCTACTTGTGACAATAGTGAGTAGGGCGTCGTTATTTTTTGTTTTGTGCAGTTTTCAGTTCGTCTCGATCAGCTTGACTTT